ATTCAAGTAGTAGGTCGCCTTTCTGAGTTCTTCGTATTTTGCTGACCTCTTCACCTAACTCCTTCAATTCGGGATCCGTCCTAATTTTTCGGAGGATATCGGCATATGATGTTTCACCTTTGGATGATATTATCATCTTATCGGGTTGAGGCTTACGAAAGCGTTTCGTCTTTCTATTTCTTACTTTCGTCCATCCTTCCGATGTAGTTTGTTGATCTTCACTGGGAGGTTTGTTTTTGGAAGATACCTCTGTACTCACGAAGACTGGGCCTTTTCCGCTTGCAAGTTGTGGGTTATTCTTTGCTCTCTTCGGTGTTGGCAATTTAGCCGAGTTTTCGCTTTTGTCCTTTTTACGCTTCTCCTCTCTCTTTTTCGGCCAAACTAGAGGTGACGTTTGAGTTACCTTGTCGGCAATAACTCCGCATGATTTGGTGGTGTCGCGGTATATCTCGTCTTTCGCTTTGTTATACACGGAACGCATTTTTCTGACTTGCCATTTTATGGCAAGGTGGATGTTGTTTTTATCCTTAAAGAAGTCCAAAAGATCAACGATAAGGTCTCCTAGTTCTGTGAAAGAATCGGGCTTCTGGTCGGGATACTTCCTCGCTTCTATTTGTGTTGGGGGCGCACTTTTATCCACTGGTTTTCTTTGTGGGGCACTATTCTCCGCATTCTCGTTTTTGCTTGTAGCATTATCTGTTGTCCCTGCCAAGCTCGTAACAGGGGTAACATTGCAGACGCTGGATGACGACGACGGGTAGCCTGCTCGCTCACTACACTCAGCCGCCGGTACTGGAGTCATTACTTCCTGCACCGTAAGTAAATTACTATTCTCAGACTTTTCCATATTGGTTTTATTTTCCGGGATCCTACCCGTAGCGTTTTTGTCCTAACCGCCAGGAGTTTACGTTGCAGCCGACCCTTACATGGGAAACAGACGCTGACCAGGGAGCCGCTCAATGTGAGGCAGACGCTTCTGGGTTTTGAATTGACTAGAGGAACCACGAAGGCGTCACTCTTCTAGCTACACTTCTCTATAGTGTACCTCCTGTGGGGGATGCTTACTTAATGGCGGCATCTATTCGCCATGACGCAGAGTCGTCTTCAGGCTCTTGTAACTTTTTTATAGCACGCCCTCGAACCCTGCCGCTCATGGTCGGGGACTGCTTATCTATCGCAGCTGGCCTACATATCTGCAGGTCGTTCAGCTATCCGCCACCCGCTGACCCCGATAGTAGCCAGAGCTATGGCCCTATCAGACTATAGACTAGACTATAGACTAGACTATAGACTAGACTATAGACTAGACTATAGACTAGACTATAGCCTAGACTATAGACTAGACTATAGACTAGACTATAGACTAGACTATAGACTAGACTATAGACTAGACTATAGACTAGACTATAGACTAGACTATAGACTAGACTATAGACTAGACTATAGACTAGACTATAGACTAGACTATAGACTAGACTATAGACTAGACTATAGACTAGACTATAGACTAGACTATAGACTAGACTAGACTAGACTATAGACTAGACTATAGACTAGACTATAGACTAGACTATAGACTAGACTATAGACTAGACTATAGACTAGACTATAGACTAGACTATAGACTAGACTATAGACTAGACTATAGACTAGACTATAGACTAGACTATAGACTAGACTATAGACTAGACTATAGACTAGACTATAGACTAGACTATAGACTAGACTATAGAATAGACTATAGACTAGACTATAGACTAGACTATAGAATAGACTATAGACTAGACTATAGACTAGACTATAGACTAGACTATAGACTAGACTATAGACTAGACTATAGACTAGACTATAGACTAGACTATAGACTAGACTATAGACTAGACTATAGACTAGACTATAGACTAGACTATAGACTAGACTATAGACTAGACTATAGACTAGACTATAGACTAGACTATAGACTAGACTATAGACTAGACTATAGACTAGACTATAGACTAGACTATAGACTAGACTATAGACTAGACTATAGACTAGACTATAGACTAGACTATACTATAGAGTATACTATACTATAGACTAGACTATAGGCTAGACTATAGACTAGACTAGACTATAGACTAGACTATAGACCAGACTATAGACTAGACTATATACTAGACTATAGACTAGATTATAGACTAGACTATAGACTAGACTATAGACTAGACTATAGACTAGACTGTAGACTAGACTATAGACTAGACTATAGACTAGACTATAGACTAGACTATAGACTAGTCTATAGACTAAACTATATACAAGTCTATAGTCTTAAAAAAACACCAAATTGGTAACAGTGCTTATATTTTATTCCCTTGGCCTTTATTAAAGCTTTATTTCTTGACGTTTTTTGGACTTAATAAAGCTGTTCTTTACTGATCTATAAGTTGTGTAGGTTTTTATGTTATTCAGCTTGGAACAACGAGCATCATATAAAAAGGATAGCCGTTTCGTGTATGATTGTAAAACTGTATAGCAATTGTGAAGTAACCGATTCATTTGTTGATGTCCATCATACAAATCACTTATCGAAAACTTTCTTTTGAAAAAAGTTTTCTGTATGCAGATTGGTATATAATGGATATTCCTAAAATAGTATCGTAACAACCCATTGTGCAAGTTAAACTGAAAACTACATAGTTCAAAAAGCATACGCTTTAAAACACCTTCAGCTACTTTTAGCTTATTTTCCACATCATTTCTTACAGTTTTTATAAACTAGATTTTTTTACATACTATTTTTAATAGTAAGTAATTTGTAGTCGTATTATTGTTATTACAAGCAACATTTAGAGTAGAGCAGGTAATAACAGCAACACTACCAAGATATTATTCATGAAAGTTAATAACGCATATAACACAGTATGTATTAAATAACAACAGTAGTAAGTACGAGAAGATATATTTTCATCTAAACAATGTCATAATATTAAGCTTGTACTACCCACTACCACAAACACAGATACTATATTTTATTTAAAAATATAACTGTATTTATAATGCATGTGTAACTGTTTAGTTGTTACAGTTATTCACCATTAACAACTCCCCAAAGTATGCAATACAACATGACAATGAATTATTTAAAAATCAAGATTTATTTATTTTCATTTTATACCAAAAATAACATCAATAATTTTTTTCCATATTTTTTAATAATTTTTAGGCGAACAATATTTATATTCGAAACTTATTTTAAAATGCAGTTGTATGTTTTAATAAAAAAAAATAACTTTTTATTTAGATTTTTTTTTTTTTTGGATTTTTTGTAATTGTTGCAGACAATTACTGCTGCTGCTGTAAAAAGTTTGTTTAAATATTTATTACTTATTTTTGTGTTAGACTTTTCCCACTGCAGTTTTGTGTGTATGTGTGTTAAAAAAACTTTTTCTTTTTTGGTTTGTGTTAAAGAGTTATGATTTTAAATTTAATATAACGCAACAGGTTGCCATTTTCTTACTTACAGTTCATGAGGGGGAAACTAAACGATTCCTAACTTTGAAAATTATTATTTATGTGTAGGAATTTTTTACATTTATTTGAAAATAAGAATAACGAAAATATCTAAACCCAAATGTTTAAGAACTTTTAAGAACGTTTTCAGTAGTGTTTAAAAAAATTAAAAGTTATATTCTCAGGAGGAAAGTTTATTTGCCCCTTTTTTTGTTCAAAAATGTTGTAATAGAAAATTAAATTTAATGAAAAGTTTTTAAATAATTGAAAACTTAACAAACATTTTCTATAAAAGAAAGCTTAAGCAAAATATTCTAAAAAAAGAGAATTTAACATTATTTATGAATTTTATTTATAACCCAGCAAGTACATGACTTGTACTTACTCAACAAGTTACTTTTCAACTACTACTCATACCCTCTGCATTTCTTAGAAAGAGTCTAGTCATGACTTACTAATTATAATTATGTAAGTACTAATGCCTGCTAAGTACTTGTCTTCAATGTCATCTCCGTGTTAAAATAATTACTTAAAATGCTAGTGTGTTTAAATTATTAAATTATTAGAGGTTGTCTCGGAATTTTGCACATATCTCCGTTCTCGAAAGCATATCAGATAGAATTATTAAAGATTTTGATCCAAAAGGTATCTGAGTTCTGGAGAAAACTGATTGAACAGACTGACGGACATGTCTTAAACGACTCCGCTATCTATAAGTGTCCAGAATATATACATTATATGGTGGAAAATTAATTGTACTGTAGAAATTACAAATGGAATGACAGTTTTATACGTTTGTTACATGGTACATTTTTCATAAAGAAGATGCCCTCATTGGCCACTCCCCTTACTACTTTTGAAAGATTCCAGCAAAATTACAACGGAAACCGCGTTGGAGACACCCATTCAAGTTAATACGTCTGCCTTCTCATACTATAATAATTACTATGAGCAGGGGATCAAATTAAGGTAGAGTTGTGATAGAGTATGAATTCAATGGCAGATGTGCCGCCAGAATATTTTCAAACATTCCGATTTCACGTGCATAAAGAGGACACTGTTGTCGAGTTTGTTTTATATTTGGAACTCATGGGCCCACTGTACGCGAGACTAGTGGTACTCAAAGTTGAACACCTCGGTTGTGAACACCTCGTTTTTAAATATGTATATTATATTTCAATGGATACGATGTTGAGATAGCGTTTTAGAAATATAGTATAGACATAAACATTTAGGAAACGATCCAACACGTGTACGAGTATATCACGTTGTTAAGTTATTCGCTGGGTTACCCACTAGCTCCTGGAATTATAATTTTGAACATTTCGTCAAAATTTGTTGAAGATCGGGAATAACCGGATACATTAAGTCTAAATTTTCAAAAATTTTATATACAAATTTAAAAACAGTTTTAAATTAGTTTGGTGCAACTAATTTTTTATTGCATTGCTAATCTTGTGGTAACTGCTAAATACTTATTTATTCTTCTTTCTTTACAAATTTAGGTTCCTGTTTGGAATATGGTCATTCCTGTTGGGGTGGTAAGTATTTATTATATTCTCTCGTTTTCTTTCTTAACAGTTATTTAACTAGAGTTTAATTATTTCGTTTAGCACATGGTAAACGTTCTGGCAATAATAAAATCTATCACACAGATATTAAGTCACCTACAGAAGTCGATTTTCAAGATTTAAATGGTTTAAGTGAAAAGGTAAGAGAACTTTGATTAAAATCACTCCGAAATAATGTATTTAAAACCAGTTTTCTCAACTTCGAAACTTCTGATAGAAGTTTTGATTATGTGATGACTTTAAACTTGGTCACCAATAAAAACCTACCGACTTCCCCCGAATTTCTTAAAGTTTCTGTTAAATATTGTCTGGGAATGTCGGCAATTTTTGTATGGTTCCAAATTGAAAAGTCATTATAGGATTTAGATGTTTAAAAAGTTTTATAAATTTTATTTTTGTTTCATAGAACACCTATGACAGCACAGAGGAGCAAATAAATGCCTCCACCGATTCTTTATCTGCCAATCGCGAACTGGCAAAAGATATCGATGACCTCATAGAGACGTCCGATAAACCAAGCATAAAATTTAAAAAGTTTCTATATAAAAAACTAAATAAAACAAATGGAAAACAACGAAATATGGAACCACCGGAACATCATAGCGCACAAAAATCCAACAATATGCCCCTGATCAGCGAAAGATGGCGACGTTTTCCTTTATATAATTTAAGACGCCTACAAATCACCAAAGCCGACAACGACTGGTTAAGGGAATTGGAAAGGGAATCACAAACAAATGATGACGATTATATATAAAACTTGGACCTAAGGAAAAGCAACAGGAAAATGCATTAAGTAAAAAGTATTAAAAAGGGCAGACAGACATAACAGCAGCAGCCGCAACTTACAAAACCAAACTCATCAAGATATTTCCCCTCTGAATGTTAAACAATTAAATAATTATAAATATATTAAATAAATTATATTAAAAACAAACCTCTAGAAATTTGCATGTTAAAGAGTAATTAAATATAAATTCATAAAATAAAAAATAATTATATTTAAACTTGTGTAGAGAACTTACTAAGTGTTAGTACTATTTGTGTATAAATAAAATTTTATGAGTAATATTTGCAATTAGAAAAAGAATATACAAACTTCAATCATGTTTCCATATTTTGTTTTATTATAAAAATCATTTTTTATTTAGAACTTAAACTAAATTTTGTAAATGTAAGACTAAAACTAAATTTATTATGAATAAAAAAAACATATTATTATAATAGAAATATTTAATAAAACAAAAATAATTGTTATAAATATTAATGCCCACGGGCTGGAGGGCATTAATATGACAACAACATTTTTATAAATGAAACGAAAAAAACATGCTCATCATTATTCCCAAATTTTTTTCTTTTTAAAAATTCCAATACAAAAATGTTCATTAAATAATAAACATATTTCTAAATATCACATTAAAAATGCTATAAAACAAGAAATTAAATTTTTAAATATAAAAAAGAGTTGAAAAAACATAAAAAAACTATTCAAAATCTCCCTTCCCCACTACTTAAGCTTTAATCTTAGCTGGTACTTGGAAACAGGCAGCATCACCCTCCTTATCACCCAAACCCCAATGGATATCTAAGCTAACCGTGGGATAAATGGGTAAAATCTTAAAACTATTCTTATAAATATAAGTTTCACCGGCTTTTAGGGGACAACCCACTTGTTTTTTACCCTCAGCATCGTAGATATTGGGACAAGCGCTGGTGCCATAATAACCGGGGAACGGTAGAGGAACATCTAGGATAATGCCTTGTATATCGGAATTTAATTCTTTGAAATCACGATTAGGTACGATTTTCATTTCAATACTGACTTCGGTATTACGTTTTAGAGTACATTTACTTTTGGGACAGTTCGAAATGGTAACATCACCTTGTTCGAGAAGACGGGCTTTGGCTGGAGAAAAAAAAAGAAAATAAAATTTATTATTTTTTCATACGCCCGTTTTTTTATGTAGCGAATTGTATTTCTATAAAAATATGTATTTCTATAAAAATGGTCGATAAATTCTCGATTTATAGAAATTTGCTTAGAAATTCTCTATTTACATAAAAATTTTCAGAAAAAATTTAAAAAATTTCCGATATAGTCTTAATTTTCAACAAAAAGTACATAAGTAAATATGCAGATTTATGATTTTTAAAAAATTTAAAAACTTTATAATTCAAATTAGATAAACTTAAATTTCAAATTGAGAAAAATTCAAATTCAATTCTAATCTCTATATCAATATCCTATCTATCTATCTATCTATCTATCTAGCTAGCGATCTATCTATCTATCTATCTATCTATCTATCTATCTATCTATCTATCTATCTATCTATCTATCTATCTATCTATCTATCTATCTATCTATCTATCTATCTATCTATCTATCTATCTATCTATCTATCTATCTATCTATCTATCTATCTATCTATCTATCTATCTATCTATCTATCTATCTATCTATCTATCTATCTATCTATCTATCTATCTATCTATCTATCTATCTATCTATCTATCTATCTATCTATCTATCTATCTATCTATCTATCTATCTATCTATCTATCTATCTATCTATCTATCTATCTATCTATCTATCTATCTATCTATCTATCTATCTATCTATCTATCTATCTATCTATCTATCTATCTATCTATCTATCTATCTATCTATCTATCTATCTATCTATCTATCTATCTATCTATCTATCTATCTATCTATCTATCTATCTATCTATCTATCTATCTATCTATCTATCTATCTATCTATCTATCTATCTATCTATCTATCTATCTATCTATCTATCTATCTATCTATCTATCTATCTATCTATCTATCTATCTATCTATCTATCTATCTATCTATCTATCTATCTATCTATCTATCTATCTATCTATCTATCTATCTATCTATCTATCTATCTATCTATCTATCTATCTATCTATCTATCTATCTATCTATCTATCTATCTATCTATCTATCTATCTATCTATCTATCTATCTATCTATCTATCTATCTATCTATCTATCTATCTATCTATCTATCTATCTATCTATCTATCTATCTATCTATCTATCTATCTATCTATATCTATGACTTTTTGTACTTTCTTTCGTTTCTTTTGTATATATATTTAAGTAAATATTATAAATAAAAACCCCATGTTCTACTTACTTTTTGGACAATTTCTAACAGTTGTGGCCATGGCAGAAGCAGCCAACAAAGTTACTGCAATTGTTAAACAAATAAAACTCTTCATTTTGTTGTATTGTGGTGGATTGGTTGAAGACTTCGGCTTAAATTTTTTAACAATAAATTATTAAAGCTGTAACAAAAATAAAAAAAATAACAAAATAAATCATTGAATATTTATAATTTTATAGCAATTAGCATATTTTTTTATAACTTAACATAATAATTAATTTAAATTCTGTGCAGTTTAAATTTGTGTCGTGTTTAATTTAAAACTATTTTCAATGTTTCTCTCTAACACAACACGTTCAAATGCTAATTAATACCGGTTGTGTGAAAAAAAGAAATTTTTTTATTGAATAAAATACATAAATTTTATTCAATAGAAAATTTCCTTATTTTTTGTAGAAAATTATTGAAACTGTTATAAATAGTTGAAGAGCATTATTAATAAGAAAATTATAAATTTATCAAAGTTTTATAAATAACATTTTATGGAGAAATGTTGTTCTATAAATCTTAGAGAAATTAAATAGAATTAGATTATAAATAAGATAGGAGGCCAATAATAGTTTACGAACTGGTTAAAAAAAACTTTTTGCTGCTATATAAAATAGATCGATTTTCTCACATTATAGGGAAGATTGTAATATTATTAAAAATCTGTCAAGGTTTGGAGATTGATTTAGACAATCATGTTTAGTTTAAAAGGGTTGCATGTCCTAAGATATACATCCGCTCAGACACCCAAAAGCATCAATTGTGATTCCCTTTAAGAAGAAACAAAAAACCATATAGATAGTAATGGAGGGAATTCTACAAGATTCATAGCCTAAATTTCCACTCCCCTGGCAAAATCCAGAAGGTCGCTTATACTACACCTAGCTACATGTTCTAGAACATGATGAAATATTTTTTACAACCATTTTGGACCATTTTTGGACACCGTGCAATCCATTCCACTGTGCCAGAATGGGTTTGTAGAGTTTCTGAATTTATTGGAGATTTAGTAGTGGTAAATGGGAGGTTTCGCCGATCTAGCTTCACTATTAATGTCCAGATCTGACCCTTGTCTACCAAATTTGTCTGCGACCTCATTATCCAAGATAGGTCAGGGATAGCTCCCCTACAGCTGCTAAGTGCTGTCGAGACTATCAACAAAATTTGTCACCTCCGACCCGCTTCTAAAGTTTGTCCTTATAAATTTCACAGCCTACATTCGTCCGGAAGTTTATACAACCGTGTTGAGCACCCTAGCTTAAATCTTCCTTCGTCTGTGTTCTGATCTATCCGATTTAGGATTGGCCACCATGGGCCGTACAATCTTGCACAATCGATTCTTTTATTCATAACACAGTTTGATTTGCCGTGACATCTACCATGAACATATGGTTGTAAAAACTTTGGGTTGAAGTACGATCCGTTGCGGGTGCAGGGTGCCTCTGTAATCTAACCCAAACAAACCATTGTGTATTTATATACACATACACACATACAAAACCTCCATGTAAGTATTCTTCGTGAAAACACCCTTTAGCCGAATCTTTTTAAATTCTCTGGAAGTACTTTTAATCATTCTGGAACGCTCTCATACAGAGAAGTTTTTTTTTAAACTTCATCCTCTTTACAGAAAGTTTTTTTCCTTATGGAAACCTTAAGCATTACAATTTATAAAAAAGAAGGAAAGAGGTTCGAAATCTTATTTGAAAAAATATTAAATTCAATGACTTCACTTTCACATTAATCTTATTATAAACAATTTATTCGATTTCAAATTTGATTTGAAACGATTTCGTAATTTATAAAGATTTAAACTCATTATAAACACGACTTATGTCTGAGTATGAAATTTTATTATAAAACTGTTTAGTTACACGAAATGCTTTAATTTGTTTTTAATTACTCCCATCAAATATTAATAAAGTGTGTCATTCACAAAAATTGAAAGTAAAACTTAAACAATTAAAAAAGTTTTAATGTTAATTTGTTTAAACAAAATTATAATTAATTATAATTTTAAAATTAACATGTTCATAATATAAAGTAAATTAAATCACTTTTATTTAAATAATTAAAGTCATTATTAACCAGTTATTAAAGCCAAAAGCAAAACTATATAAAAGACCTTGTCCATAGATTTTTTCATTCAGATTTCAGTTATAAAAAATAACGCAATGAAGAAGATTTAAACCACTAGACACGTTTGCATATAAAAATCCAAAAAGCACAGATTTAGTTAAAGTAAAAATACATGTTTATAAAAAAATTTCTTAAAAATTGCATTGTTTGTAATGCAATTTTTCGTGGTATTTACCAATTTTACTTTTAATGTTGTTTTTTTTTTTATTTTTTATGTATATTTTTCGTTATTTTCCACTCTTTATTCTCTTTTTACTATTATTTTTTATACATTCAATTTTTTTTGTTGTTTATCTTTTATTTTTAACTTTTTTTCAATAAACTATTTTTTCACACTCATCCGATATACAACTTTAACTCAACACCTGATCTAACTTAACTAAAGCTTTAAATTGTTTGGCTTCTACTTATATATTTTATAATGTCTGAGATTTTTTTTTGGTTGGTTGTATACATGGTAATCGTAAGTTGCCGCCTTTCCCCTCATTTTACTAGCAACTCATTAAATATTATAGGTATTTGTTTGTTGTCTGATTTAACCGGTCAGCTACTCAGTTACAATAAACCATTTTCAGTTTTATTTTAAAGTAGTTGCCGCTGTCATGCAAAAGTTGAGAGCATGAATTACAATTAGGGCGTTAGCGCTAAGTAATGAAACAAGTATGAAAAAGTTGCGTTTGTTCGGTTGAACCGATTTTTTCCTCCGGGGCTTGTTGCCTTTAGGAACTTTTCCTAAAAGCAACAGGGAGGGCAAAAATTTGTATCAGTACCTCTAGTCTTCCGGGACTATAAACTGGTGTCAAATGTATACTCGGCCTTTCCTTGGAATAATTTAACTTGGGGTCGAACTAGAGATCCATATAATATTGTACAACAGGAATTTTGGACATTGTCTTGTCTCTTGTTATTGGAGAAACCCCTTCGAGGTGTATGTGGTGGTTGTGGTTTTAGCCGAAACTCGCGGGAAGAGACAAAAGATACCCAACAGAGGAGATACTGTATGGCTAAGAGTTGGGAATGTGTTGATATCAAGTGTACAAAACACGCAATGAATGGGGTATGCGGCAGCAATAGAGCCGCAATAGTCAGAGATTATAAAGCTCGAGTACTTGAGCAAAGTTCTAACACAGAGACCGGCGGAACCATGCGGCAGCAACAGGGCCGCAATAGTAAGAGATCAGAAAGCTGGAGAACTTCATCACAATGCTAACACAAGGACCGACGGAACCATGTACCTGTATGTAGGTGCAAGGCACTCTTGGTTCTAAAAGTACCACCGCGAAAACAGTTGTTCACATAAGGCACTTCGACTTCTGTTGAACGGATTTGTATCATATTCAGTACCAATTATTTATTATAGCCGATAAATTGTATCACATTGACTTGTTGTAATAGAAAAATAGCAACGTATATTTGATGGACCAAAAACCTTCACTAGCGTCTCATATGGACATGCTACGGAAGAGAATACCTCCAAGCTAAATATTGCATTCTTGTGAGACTGAGAATAGCTACTAAAACTAAAACATTCAGAAATAAAAAGCTTTGTTGGATACTACTGTGCTGTGTGTAACCAACTCAGAGACTCTTCCTATATATCCATGAATAGGCCTTATCAAGAGAAGTGAGGACCAATCTGATGTTACACGAAATTTCCCGATCTACAAAGCACTTGTACTCGCCCCAACATTAATTCAGATTTAGGAGTTTGGGGTAAATTCTTGAAGCCATCAACCTCGGTGGGGAAAATGGTCCATATACATATATAAAAAAAATATTATAAATGAAAAACTTCATAAATCCTTTGACGTACAAGAAGCCTTATTTGGCTATGCTAATGAATTGATTAGTTCTTGGCTTAAAAATTTTTTAGTATTAACTCGGAATTTTTTATTTGATATTTCTGTAATAGGAGTAAATTTGACTCACTAATGCATATACATAGAAAGCGGCATTTAACATATGAATAACATATAATAACATCATTTGAAATAAAAAAAAAACTATTCCAGAACTAGACCTTATTGTCATAATATGTTGACTGAAATGATTCGACAAGTCTATACAGATTTTGTTTTTTGCTTTTTTACCCGTAACTCAAGATTTTGGAGGTGTTTGGCAAATTTCAAAAACAAATTCTTGTTCTACTAGGATCCACCTTTCAGAAAAATTGTATCAGTTCCCAGATATTTATTTTTGTCGCATAGTGTAATTGGACTGTAAAGCGTAGTGTTGTTTTCTAATCATATATACATCGAAACACTGACGTAATAATTGACCTTAAAATATTTGGAACGGAATTTAAAGATATAACACTACGGAAGAGTGATTAATCTAGATAAAAATCTAGTCAACATATGTAAATATGAATGATTTCGAGGGTCCAAATTGTGAACAGATATTGTCCCTTTTCAAAACCTTAATTGGGAACGTTGAGACGTTTTCAAGTTGATATACACTTACATAGGGGTTTGACTCATTCAAACTGATTAATTTGTTAGAAGCATAACTTTTAACGATTTATTGACAATAAACTTACTAATTATGAACCTATTTACCGTTTAAGAATGTTTCAAAATATTTTTCTAATTCTTAAATATCTTTTAGACAAATTATGGGATTTAAAAACTAAAACCAGATTTAGATAGTAGAGGTTATCATGTTTTTCAACTAAATTTTAGTTAAATTTTATTTTCCAAATATTAGTTACAACATTTGTTAAAATTTTCACGTTTATAACAAAAAATCGCTCTCCTTACCCAGTTCAAAAACCTCAAATTTTGATGTATGTCAGGCATGTAGTAAATGTGCGAAATAACTGTTATGTGGTTTGTGGTCTATCGCATTAATTATGAATAGTTAAACAAAAAACACTATGCAACTACAGCAAAAATTTTAAGATTCTCCTAAACACCAAGAGAATAAAGTTTAAGTAATGATTACAAATACTAATTCTGTCATTAAAACAATGTTAAAGCGAAACTTTTTATTACAACCCAGCGAATACCTACTACTTCCAAAAACTATACATATGTTTATGCTCTTATATAACGAATAAATCGAGTCAACAAATCCAAGAATAATTGCTATTCGGCCTAATTGTTTTCGAGATATTAATTAGTTCAATGAAAGCGAGTGGTTGCATAAGTTGGATACTTTTGTATATAGACCATCGAGATATGTCCTGTGGTTTAAAATTTAATTTTAGAACTAGTTTCAGAACTGTTCTAAAGAAGCTTCCCTAGAACTCGACTAGTACTTGAACTAGAAGAATTCCAACAAAAAAAATTGATAAAAGAACTAATACCAGGCTGTTTCATAGAACCAGTGTCATGCATTCTGAACAAAAAACGTATATTGTTAACATCAAAAATTTTTATAACAAAAAAATTGTCTAGACTTTTTAAAATTCTATAAAAAAGTGATTTTATATCTCAAAGGTTTAAACATCATTTAAATGTCTGTGGAAGTTTTTTTTTAAGACCGTCACGTAGCCATTTTTATATATTCTTAATTTGAAATCATATATGAAAGTTATCTAATTAATAATTAGGATATTTTATAACATTTAATTAAAAGTTTATTTTATTAAAATCACCGGGGTTTCCCGTAATTCAGAAGACTAAAGTTCATATACGTTGACGTTTGAAAGTAATTAATTTAATTTTTAAACTGCAATAAATTGTGAGTTTTTTATGGCAAATGTAGAGTGCAAAAGTCTTATTAGTAGTTAATTTTAAAATTTATCAAAGGTTTAGAAAACTATTTTGGTATAAAATTTTTTGTTAAATATTTTTGAAACGTTATACTTTGTTTGAAACATTTTAATTTACTTTTTTGTGTAAGAAAGATATATACTAAAAATATTACAGACTTCTTATAATTTCAAGTTGTTGTACTGGATTTTGTACTAAAGAATTAATGTATTCATTATAATCTTAAAAAGCTATATAAATTATAACCATATAATAATTATTAAGTATTTAATTAAAAATAAAATATTCACTTTTTGAACTTATGATCATTAGAATATTACCAACACGGGTACTAATTAATTATACAAATTTTACATCCTAAAAAGATGGATCGAGTTACAAAATATCTGTGTATGAATATTTAAATATTTGAAACAACTTTAAGAAAAAGATGGATCGAGTTACAAAATATCTGTGTATGAATATTTAAATATTTGAAACAACTTTAAGTAAAATCAATAAATTTTGTCACTTAGAGATGCAAAAGCAGTCATCTCCCTTTAAAATTTTATGAACTATTTTAAAAAATTTCGAACAGAATTAAGCGAAGGCACTTTTAGTATACCTATTAAAATGATTAAAAGTGAAGATTACTGTCTTTGTTTATATAACTTTTATTTGTACTCTAATCCAAGATATCACAGTCCAACACATTTTTTACCCAAAGACCAAAGTATTATTTTCAAAATGATTGAGCTGAGCTGAATTCGATTTGCTGAAACAGATTTTCGAGATGTCCTAAAATTTGGAAAACGACATCTTCGTTTCGAATGATAACATGATATGTCAGTCCAATCTATTGATATCTGTTGTATCAGCTTTCATCTTAAAGAAATCTTAAGCTCTTGTATTTGCTGATTTATCGTCCGTAGAAATTTTTGTCGTAAAATAAATGCAATAACGATTTTGTATACCCTACACTATGAATCACTTTCTGAGTCGGTTAAGAAATGTCTGTCCGTGGGTGTCTATGAAAAACCTTGTGCGAAGGTACAGGCAAAATTTTTATCATGTTTTGATTAAATTTGGACTACAAGTCGCCCCAGGAACGAAACCTATTAAATATGGTTGAAACCGGACATTCCGATATGGGCTTTTTATCACATAACTACACAGAGGGAAAAAGAAATATACACGCCTGGTACCAAATTGACACCAAAGATTTTATAACTTTTCAATAACATCCCTTGTCAAAGTATATACATACGTACTACAACACTATGCAACAATTCGTTGTCGAAATCTAAATTTTATACACATCCGTTTTCTAAACAAACAATCCGTTGCCAATAGTGAGCTTAACACTTCTGTTACCATTTAGACAACAGATGTGTATGAAATTTAGATTTCGACAACGAATTGTTGCAATGTTGTCAACATTACATAGTGTTGTCGTACGTATGTATTTACTTTGACAACGGATATTATTGAATTATAAACAGTTTGGTGTCAATTTGGTACCAGGCGTGTATATTTCTTTTTCCCTTTGTGTACGTCAAATATTCTACTATCTCTTCAAAAGTCAACTAAGTTTTATATAAGCATAAATGACACTGCCAATTTTTATAATGGTTGACCCCTATTTAATCCTAGACCCCATACAAACTCTCCTTTAAAAAATGATATGATTCAACTCAGCATAAA